CATTCCGTAATACAAGATCCCATGGCTAACTCATTAGTCACATTGCTTGCAAGCTCATTGTGATGCTGTATTACCGAGTGGGCCCTGAGATACCTCTCCGTCATATGGAGTGACAATGTCACTCCCAGTCTTGATCCATGCCAACTCAACAGACACCCTTGGAGATACCTGTAGAGCACCTTTACAGTCACACAGTTACGTTGCGACGTTTGGTACACATAAGGTACTCCTCCGGTGTCAGTGAGTTGCATGATCTCATGGTCATAGGAACATATACTTGACATGCAGAAAATGATAGCAACAAACTTGACATGATCATATGCTATGTTCATAAGTTGGGTCTTGTCCATCACATCATTCTCCTAATGATGTGATCCCGTTATCAAATGACAACTCATGTCTATGACTAGGAAACCATAGCCATCATTGATCAACGAGCTAGTCTAGTAGAGGCTCACTAGGGACACGTTGTTGTCTATGTATCCACACATGTATCTGAGTTTTCGATCAATATAATTCTAGCATGGATAATAAACGATTATCATGAACTAGGAAATATGATAATAACTAATTTATTATTGCCTCTAGGGCATATTTCCAACATGTGCCATATATAGTGACTCTTCAATGTGAATACTTGACCTTACAGATTCCAAGACTCCGAGTTGATTGATGAACTGAACATGGTTACATACTCCAAGTTCCTAGTGTAGTCACATCATTTAAACAATAAGATCCAGAATGACACATGGAGTAATTAGGTTACAAAGTCACATTGTCTTGAATTAAATCTAGAATAGTGCAGTGACTATTCAATGCGAGGAATTTAAACGGGTTGCGTATATAGCCATGGAGTTGCTATATTACATCATCAATACGTGGTTGTGATCCTTTGTAATGGCTTCAATCTAAACACTCTTATATTTCTTTACGGAGGGAGTACTATCCAAAGTTATGTATAATTGACCCACTATTCAAAATTAGGTAGAGTTTCTTTTCGACAACGGTGGTAGTACTAGGTTTGATATGCCTATCTTTGCCACGTCTAACTTTAGTCCCCAAACAAACACAAATTGTAAACGACAACACTCTGTTACTCACATGGACCACGATCCACAAATTTAACCTCTTCTCGCTCTTTTTTCAAATTGAGAGATCTCTTCGAAAAAACAAAAAAAAAATGCAAAACCAAGAGCTCAAATTTAGAATATTTTTTGACACGAGAAACAAGGTCGTACTGTAAAGAAAGAAGGAGAAGTTGTGCACACGGTTTTGCGCATCCGCTGCCCATCAGCTTGTGTCCTTCTGGTGGGTGGTCCCGAGTTATGCGATACATTCACACTGAAATGCAAACTATTTAGTAATAACATATTAATCAAATTTATTTTGTATGTACATTATATTTTTTTCAACCACAATAGAATTATGCAAAAAATGAATTTGTAGCCCCACATTTGGGTAGATATATCTTCTGTTTTACAAAAAATAAATCTTAAGGGCAACATAGTGAGGTTTTTGTTCCTCAGAAGGAACCTTCAGTGTGAAGGTTTGAATCTTGAGTTTCTCGACAGAAAGTGACCTGACTTCCAGACTTAATTAGAGATGAAGTAGTCAATCACACAATAGTATTGCGGGTCATAGCATTTTCCAAAAGTTGCATTCAATGTGATGTTGGGGAACGTTTCATGGGAAACAAAATTTTTGCTACGCTCACCAAGATCAATCTAGGAGATGACCATCTACGAGAGGAGAGATTGCATCTACATACCCTTGTAGATCTCTAAGCGAAAGCGTTAAGAAACGCGGTTGATTTAGTCAAATGTCTTCGTGATCCAATCACGATCCGTCCCGCGAACTCCCGATCCAAGTGCCAAACGGACGGCACCTCCGCATTCAACACATGTACGGCTTGATGACGCCTTCACCTCCTCAATCCAGCGAGGGTGGTGAAGTAGTAGCTCGAGTCCTCCAGCAGCACGACGGTGTGGTGGCTGCGGTGGTGGTGAAATCTCAGCAGAGCTTCGCTAAGCACTACGGAGAGGAAGAGGGCTACGTGGGAGAGGAAGGGCAGCACCGTGGCGTGGAGATGTACTCAAGGATGCGGCTGCCCTCTCTCTACCTCTTTATATATAGGGGGAAGGGAGGAGGAGGGGCGCCCTAGATCCAATCTAGGGGGCCGGCGGCCACAGGGAGAAACCCTAGATGGGTTTTGTGCACCTCCCACCCCCTGGAGACTTGGCCCCCAAGGCAAAGGGGATGGCTTCCCTAGGAGGGAGCCCCCACTCCTTCTGGTTACGTGGGAAAGGGTGAGGGGGGCGCACAGCCCCTTAGTGGGCTGGTTTGCCCCTCCCCTTGGCCCATGAGCCCCCCCAATACTTGTCGGGGCCCCCCGAAACCCCTCTCGGTCATGCTAGTCATCACCCGGTACCGCCGGAACAATTCCAGACTCCAATAGCCTTCGTCCAATATATTGATGTTCACCTCCGGACCATTCCGGAGTTCCTCGTCACGTCTGGGATCTCATCCGGGACTCCGAACAACCTTCGGTAACCACCATAATGACTCAACTATACTTCGTCACCAAATGTTAAGTGTGTAGACCTTGTGGGTTCGAGAACTATGCAGACATGACTGAGACACCTCTACTGTCAATAACCAATAGCGGGACCTGGATGCCCATATTGGTTCCCACATATTCTACCAAGATCTTATCGGTCGAACCTCGATGTCAAGGATTCAGCTAATCCCGTATGTAGTTCCCTTTGTCTATCGGTATGTTACTTGCTCGAGATTCGATCGTTGGTATCTCCATACATAGTACAATCTCGTTACCGGCAAGTCTCTTTACTCATTCCGTAATACAAGATCCCATGGCTAACTCATTAGTCACATTGCTTGCAAGCTCATTGTGATGCCGTATTACCGAGTGGGCCCTGAGATACCTCTCCGTCATATGGAGTGACAATGTCACTCCCAGTCTTGATCCATGCCAACTCAACAGACACCCTTGGAGATACCTGTAGAGCACCTTTACAGTCACACAGTTACGTTGCGACGTTTGATACACATAAGGTACTCCTCCGGTGTCAGTGAGTTGCATGATCTCATGGTCATAGGAACATATACTTGACATGCAGAAAACGATAGCAACAAACTTGACATGATCATATGCTATGTTCATAAGTTGGGTCTTGTCCATCACATCATTCTCCTAATGATGTGATCCCGTTATCAAATGACAACTCATGTCTATGACTAGGAAACCATAGCCATCTTTGATCAACGAGCTAGTCTAGTAGAGGCTCACTAGGGACACGTTGTTGTCTATGTATCCACACATGTATCTGAGTTTTCGATCAATATAATTCTAGCATGGATAATAAACGATTATCATGAACTAGGAAATATGATAATAACTAATTTATTATTGCCTCTAGGGCATATTTCCAAATGTGCCATATATAGTGACTCTTCAATGTGAATACTTGACCTTACAGATTCCAAGACTCCGAGTTGATTGATGAACTGAACATGGTTACATACTCCAAGTCCCTAGTGTAGTCACATCATTTAAACAATAAGATCCAGAATGACACATGGAGTAATTAGGTTACAAAGTCACATCGTCTTGAATTAAATCTAGAATAGTGCAGTGACTATTCAATGCGAGGAATTTAAACGGGTTGCGTATATAGCCATGGAGTTGCTATATTACATCATCAATACGTGGTTGTGATCCTTTGTAATGGCTTGAATCTAAACACTCTTATATTTCTTTACGAAGGGAGTGCTATCCAAAGTTATGTGTAATTGGCCCACTATTCAAAATTAGGTAGAGTTTCTTTTCGACAACGGTGGTAGTAGGTTCGATATGCCTATCTTTTCCAGGTCTAACTTTAGTCCACAAACAAACACAAATTGTAAACGACAACACTCTGTTACTCATATGGACCATGATCCACAGATTTAACCTCTTCTCGCTCCTTTTCCAAATTGAGAGAATCTCTTTGAAATAAAAATAAAAATAAAAATGCAAAACCAAGAGCTCAAATTTAGACTATTTTTTGACATGAGAAACAAGGACGTATTGTAAAGCAAGAAGGAGAAGATGTGCACACGGTTTTGCGCATCCGCTGCCCTTCAGCTTATTTCCTTCTGGTGGGTGGTCCCGAGTTATGCGATGCATTCACACGGAAATGCAAACTATTTAGTAATAACATATTAATCAAATTTATTGTGTATGTACATTATATATTTTTTCAACCACAATAGAATTACGCAAAAAAAATAATTGAATTTGTAGCCACACATTTGGGTAGATATATCTTCTGTTTTACAAAATAGAAATCTCGAGGGCGACATAGTGAGGTTTTTATTCCTCGGAAGGAACCTTCAGTGTGAAGGTTTGAATCTTGAGTTTCTCGATAGAATATGACCTGACTTCCAGACTTAATTAGAGATGAAGTAGTCAATCACACAATAGTATTGCGGGTCATACCATTTTCCAAAAGCTCCATCAATCTGATGTGCCACATATAGTGACTCTTCAGTGCGAATACTTGACCTTAGAGGCTCCAAGATGACCGAGGAACTGAACATGGCCACATACTTCAAGCCGCCTAATGTAGTGACAATTTATTTTGGATAATAAGATCTAGACACATGAAGAGTAACTTGGTTGCCGAGTCACATCATCTTGGGCATGATATATGTAATAGTAGTGACTTATATTCAACACAAAGGTTTAAACGGGTTAAGTATATAGCCACGAAGTTACAGTGCCACATCCAGAATACGCCTTCGTACCAGGTCAAAGGGACATCTCTTGTGGATGCTCCATCCACTATTCTAAATAAGCTTAAATTCCTTTTTGACAATATGGTACTAGGTTTGATATGCCTAGCTTCGTGACATTTTCGTAGGCAGTGCTCGAGAAATCCAAATCATAAACAAAAACAAGAAATGGAATCTCAACCTCTATATACTACTTAAAAATAATAATGTCCCCCTTCAAAAAATATAATAGTGTTCCTTTCTCTATGAGGCAGGGTGTGTTCACCTGTCCCTCTTTCTGTTTCCATTTTTTTTTCTATTCTATCTTCGAATTGTTTTCTTTGGTTCCTTAAAAATCGTCTTAACTGTCTTTTCTTTTATTGATTTAATTTATCTATGTGTTGGTTGTGGGGTTAGCTGACCCTATATCTTTTCAGAAAAATAGCCAAAAACACTGTACCATTAGTGTACATCATGAAGAATTTTTTCGGAAAATTGGCAATGACCCCACTGATTTTTATGGCTGGCCTCGCTCTCTAAAAAAGACTTGTATTCAGAAACGGAGAAAGTACATTAGATTAGATGATATTAAGGCCATATTGTTGTAAAGCACTAAGGAAAATTAGGCAGCGGTTTTGGCAAGTAGGATGTGTCCATGTCAAAAGAACAGTGAATGAACCCCGCAAAAAAAAAAAACTATGATAAAAATCCTCTCGACGCTGCAAAACGGATACACGAGAAAAAAAGAGAAACTACTCGCTGCAATCGCCGTTGCCGCCCGAGCACCCGCCGCCGCCGCCG